AATCCCTTCCCTAAATCCCCGCCCTAAAATTCCTTTCCTTCCCTAAATCTCTTCCCTAAAATCCCTTTCCTTTCCCAAATCCCTTCCCCAAATCCCTATCTTTCCCTAAATCCCTTCCATGAATCCATTCCCTAAATCCCTTCCCTGAATCCCTTTCCTGAATCCCTTTCCTGAATCCCTTTCCTGAATACCTTCCGAAATCCCTTCCCTAAATCCATTGCAGAAATCCCTTCCCTAAATCCCCACCCTAAAATCCCTTTCCTTCCCTAAAACTCTTCCCTAAAATCCCTTTCCTATCCCAAATACTTTCCCTAAATCCCTTCTATGAATCCATTCCCTAAATCCCTTCCCTAAGTCCTTTCCCTGAATCCCTTCCCTAAATCCCTTCCATGAATCCATTCCCTAAATTCCTTCCCTAAAGTCCATTCCCTGAATCCCTTTCCTAAATCGCCGCCCTAAAATCCCTTTCCTTCCCTAAATCTCTTCCCTAAATTCCCTTTCCTTCCCTAAATCCCTTCTATGAATCCATTCCCTAAATTCCCTTCCCTGAATCCCTTTCCTGAATCCCTTCCAAAATCCCTTCCCTAAATCCATTGCAGAAATCCCTTCCCTAAATCTCTTCCCTAAAATCCCTTTCCTTCCCTAAATCTTTTCCCTAAAATCCCTTTCCTATCCCAAATACTTTCCCTAAATCCCTTCAATGAATCCATTCCCTAAATCCCTTCCTTAAGTCCTTTCCCTGAATCCATTCCCTGGATCCATTCCCTAAATCCCTTCCATGAATGCATTCCCTAAATTCCTTCCCTAAAGTCCATTCCCTGAATCCCTTTCCTAAATCCCTTCCCTAAATCCCCGCCCTAAAATCCCTTTCCTTCCCTAACTATCTTCCCTAAATTCCCTTTCCTTACCCAAATCCCTTCCCCAAATCCCTTTCCTTCCCTAAATCCATTCCATGAATCCATTCCCTGAATCCCTTCCCTAAGTCTTTTCCCTAAATCCTTTCCCTAAATCCCTTCCCTGAATCTCTTCCCTAAATCCCCGCCCTAAAATCCCTTTCCTTCCCTGAATCCATTCCATAAATTCCCTTTCCTTTCCCAAATCCCTTCCCCAAATCCCTTTCCTTCCCTAAATCCCTTCTATGAATCCATTCCCTAAATCCCTTTTCTGAATCCCTTCCCTAAATCCCTTCCCTAAATACCTAAAATCCCTTTTCTTCCTTAAAATCCCTTCCCTAAATCCCAGGAGCATGGATTTGGTGTTTCCTGGAATTTCCGGGAATGCGGCTGCTGGAAAAGCAGGAGAGGACCGGCCGGGAATGATCCTGGTGGGGATCAGGGAATGCCAGAGGTTGGGAAAGCTTTGGAAAATCCCGGTAGGAAAAATTCCCTGTCAGAGGAGGATGGACACAGCCATTCTGGGAATGTGCTGAGGAATTCCAAGGAGGAATTCCAGGATGCTTTGGATGGGATTCATGGACCTTCCATCCCAAACCGTTCCAACCCCACCATCCCAGGCTGCTCCAACCTTTCCTTGGGCATTCCCAGGGATTCTCTGGGAATTCCAGCCCAGCCGGGAATTCCTGCCCAAGATCCCAAACTCCCAAGCTCCCCTTTCCCACTGGGAATTCCATTCCCTGGCTCCTGCCCCTCCAGCCCTTCCCCAAATTCCAGCTCTCCTTTCCCTCTGGAAAAGGCTCCAAGGATTCCCTGGATCCTTCCCTGATCCAGGGGAACATTCCCGGCTCTCCCAGCCTGGGATTGGATCCATCCCCATCCCGATTCCTCCTGGAGAAGGAATTTTGGGATCCAGGGGCTTCACTGGGAATTTGGGACTCCAGGAAGGGTCTCCCTTCCCTTTTCCACCCCCAAATTCCATAAAAATCCCTCGGGATGGATCCTGAGTGTCCCTGATCCCAGAATCCCGGGATGGTTTGGGATGGGATCCATGGAGCTCCAATCCAATCCCATCGCAGGGACACTTCCCATGATCCCAGGGTGATCCAAACCCCATCCAAACTTTTCTGGGACACTTCCAGGGATCCAGGGATTCTCTGGGAATTCCAGCCCAGCCAGGAATTCCTTCCCCAGATCCCAAACTCCCAAGCTCCCCTTTCCCACTGGGAATTCCATTCCCTGCCTCCCGCCCCTCCAGCCCATTCCCAAATTCCATTTCCAGCTCTCCCGGAAACCTCTGGAAAACTCCAGATTTGATCCCACCTCATTATGAGCCTCAATTTCCCATGGGAATCCGGCGGCATTCCCAAAATTCTCGGCTCCTCCCCGCTCACCTCCTCAGCTTCTCCGGCCTCTCCTTTTCCCGCCTCCGCGATTCCCGGAGATCGGATTCCACCTGGACGTCGGTCAGCAGCTGCGTCCCGTGGAAAAGCAGCTTGGCCAGGGCCTGCCAGGGAAGGGACATTCCCGGGAATTTGGGCTTGGAATGCACCAATCCCGGATCCTTCCCATCCATGGGTTCGTTGGGAATCCAATCCCATGGATCCTGGTTGAATTCCCGTGCCTAAAGGATCCCGAAATCCCTTTCCTTGCCTGAATCCTATCCCGGAATCCCATCCCGGAATCCCATCCCAGAATCCCATCCCGGAATCCCATCCCGAAATGCCATCCCAGAATCCCATCCTGGAATCCCATCCCGAAATCCCATCCCGGAATCCCATCCTGGAATCCCATCCCAGAATCCCACCCCATTCCATAATCCCATCCCGGAATCCCAGAATTCAATCCCGGAATCCCATCCTGGATTCCCATCTCAGAATCCCATCCTGGAATCCCATCCCGAAATCCCATCCCGGAATCCCATCCTGGAATCCCACCCCATTCCATAATCCCATCCTGGAATCCCATCCCGAAATCCCATCCCAGAATCCCATCCCGGAATCCCATCCCGAAATCCCATCCCAGAATCCCATCCTGGAATCCCATCCCGGAATCCCATCCTGGAATCCCATCCCGGAATCCCATCCCGGAATCCCATCCTGGAATCCCATCCCGGAATCCCATCTCGAAATCCCACCCCATTCCATAGTCCCATCCTGGAATCCCATCCCAGAATCCCATCCCAGAATTCGATCCCGGAATCCCATCCTGGAATCCCATCCCAGAATCCCACCCAATTCCATAATCCCATCCCGGAATCCCAGAATTCAATCCTGGAATCCCATCCCGAAATCCCATCCCAGAATCCCAACCCATCCCGGAATCCCATCCTGGAATCCCATCCCGGAATCCCATCCCGGAATCCCATCCTGGAATCCCATCCTGGAATCCCATCCCGGAATCCCATCCTGGATTCCCATCCCAGAATCCCATCCCAAAATCCCAGAATCCCAGAAATGCATCCTGGAATCCCACCCCATAATCCCATCCCATAATCCCAGCCCAAAATCCCAGAATCCCATTCCATAATCCCACCCCAGAATCCCCTCCTGGATTTCTATCCTGGATTCCCATCCCAGAACCCCATCCCAAAATCCCAAAATCCCAAAATCCCATCTCATAATCCCATCCCATAATCCCATCCTGGATTCTCATTCCGCAATCCCATCCCAGAATCCCATCCCAAAATCCCATCCCAGATTCCCATCCTGGATTCCCATCCCAGAATCCCCGTATGGAATTCAGGTTGGAAAAGCCCATGGAATCCAACCATTCCCATCAGATCCCAAGGATCCCACTCCAATCCCGGTCCTTGGGAATTTCTCTCCTGGTTTTTGGCCCAAAAAGGAGGAAAATGTGGGATAAGGATGGATCCAAGAGGAGATTCCCATCGGAT